ATTCTTTATTTATTTTCTCCTCGCACTTTTCTTTTGTTGATGCCTTCCACCGCTTTGCATTTGAATCCCTCAAAAATCAGGAAATCGCTTCCACCCAGCTTTCGTATTTATGAAAACACATGTTTCCAAGAGCCTGCAATGAATTTATATTTGGTACAAGCTGCGTAGTGCATCTCACTCCCTTGGCAATGTGCCCGTCCACAAGCTTTCCATGGAGGTTTGTTCCCCCCAGTTTCCACAGATCCCGTTGATTGATTCACTGTTTAATGGCTTCCTGTGCTGGGCATAGCATACGACAAACATCTGTAAGGGTGGATCGGGCATACTGGTTCTCTTTTGCTCTGCTACGCTCATCTGTGGTGTAGTAAAGTGAGGTATCTGCCTTTACTGTGGCCTGAGAGAATGACGTGCTCCATTATAAAAAGCACTGACTCCACTGAAAAATGAGCCACGGGTCCTAGCGGCCACTGGTTGCTGAGTGGCTCATAGTGCCTCAGGGGATGAAGTTTAGCCTCAGATGTTGATGACAGATGATTTAGGGGGTGGGGGGTTATAGCAGCTGGGCTACGAGTGATAAAGTTATACTGAGTGTTAATGTCCAGAGTAGTTTGAAGACTCATCTCTTTGAGTCAATACAGAAGCTAAAGGTTCAGCTTTGGGCTATTTTAGTCAGCTTCACTATGGATTCCATCTTCTTGGTATTCTAGTGGTCACAGCTCTGATAGTAAAATTGCTTAAGATCCAAGTAAATTAACGTTGTGGATATTTATTAAAAAATCTTTAGACCCACAGCACTGAAGCAAATCACAGGAAATTGGAAAAGAACATCAAGCCAAAACTAAATTAGCTGAAAATAAAACTCAGAGTGTTCAATAACAAAGAAATTAGCTCGTGAGAAGCATTAAATTGGGGATATTTTTATGGAAAAAAGTACTCTGGTTTTGTAAAATTAAAATATAGTTTTAAGATGGGTTTCTTATATGCATAAAATGTCTGATAAGCATCATGTTTACCCTTTTTTTGTTGCAATGCTGTAACATTTGCAATTATTCATCTATCCCCCCCACCCCCACCCCCATGCTATGGATTATGGCAAGTGTCAAGCCTTACATCACAAACTGCATTTAGTATAAAATCTTTGTCAAATTATCCCTAATAAATCAAGGTTAACAATATGTCAACTTGTAGTCTTGGTCAGACATTTACACTCTTCAAGGGCATAAATCTTTTCAATAGGGTTGACGTCAGCGGGTTTCAAAAGGCCATTCCAGGAGTTTATGGTCAGCCTATTTTATATGGGATGATTAAATTGTGTCAAAATTTCAACCATCTAGCTCCTGATTTGAGGTGAAGTTGAAGAATTTCGAGGTAATACGCCTTCATTATTTCATATCCTTTGTACAATGTACCACTACCACTGGCAGCAAAACAGCACCAGAGCAAGACAGTTGCTTGACAGCTGCTACACTGTTCTTAGATGTCGAGGCTTCACCTTACTCCTCCAAACATGTATCTTGTCTTTGCGACCAAAAAGCTCAATCTTTGTCTCATCTGACTATAAAACTGTTGCCAAGATGGCATTTGGGCTTCTTTACATGAAGCCTTCATGTGGAAGTAAACATGAATCTCACTGTGCAAACTGAACCAGCCAACTGCCAATTGCCAATGTCTGATATACAAACATGCTGGGTTCAGCTGTGGCTCACCAATCAGCCTGTTGTAGAGGTGCACAGTAGCCTGTTTTCAGCAACCACCATTTTTGTTTTCAAGTAGAACATTGTGATATCTAATGCAAAGTTTTCCATGTAATAATATTATTTTCTAATCATAATTAGGAATAAGAATTCAAATGATTTTACATAAACTACTCTCCCTAGATGGCCATAGTGATAGATGTAGCTATACCAAGTGATAGCAACATCGGGAAGAACGAACATGGAAAGCTTAAGAAATATCAAAGACTAAGAGAAGAGCTGGAGAAGATGTGGAGGTTGAAGGTAACAGTGGTCCCTGTGGCAATCGGAGCACTCAGGGCAGTGACACCCACTGTACAGAACATTATATATTTATATATAGTTATATGAAAGTATATAGTCATATACTGCAGCAGTCCCCAACCCCCGGGCCACGGACTGGTACCGGGCCGCGAGAGTTGAGACTCGGGTGTGAAATGTATGGTTATCAGGGTTTTTTTTCGGTTTTTAGCGTTATCTTGTTATCGTTTTTTTCGTTAACTTGGTGTTCCTGGGTCTTTTCACGTGTGTTATGAATAAATCTTTTTTTTTTCGGTACCGGTACTAGTTTTATTTTGTTGTATTTATCCGCGACTCCTTAAAGGCCGGTCCGTGAAAATATTGTCGGGCACAAACCGGTCCGTGGCGCAAATAAGGTTGGGGACCGCTGATATACTGTATATACTCTTCATGTTGTAAACAAAAAAATGGGATGTTATTTCATGTGGAAAACTGTCCAAAAAAAGACTTCTTACAACTGTGTATACTACACCTTCCATAAAACAGCACAAACTGGTTCCAACCAGAATAGCAATAGAAGTGGGAGGCACTGGTGCACAACTGATAAACGCTCTCTAGATTTGAGTATCAACTACTTCACAGAGGCCTGAAACTATAGACCCCATTATACAGTTTTGGCATTTACAACATTTCTGATATATTTTTTATTATAATTATAATATATTAAATATATTACATAAAAACAAGAATAGTTCCTTCAAAATCACGGCCCTTTCCAATTGACCTCAAGCTTTTGTGTGGTTGTGCTAATATGCTACATACAGATGCAGGTAAATTACTGATAGTAAGATGATTTTTAATTAGTCTGTTAATTGCCTGTTGGTTTTAGGATTTTGTCATGTTTGTAAAAAGACAATGTAAAAATATAGTATAACTGCAATATAAAAAGCAAAGCTTTTGTTTTTATCCATCTTAGGATTAGACGACTTTTCCAAAATCTTCTTTTCGACGTAAAGTGTTCACGTCGCCAGTGACAAAACCCTGTGTTTGGGCAAACACCTTAATCCCAAAATCAATCTTTATTTCAACCTACGCCTTAAAATTAGGAGAACATCAGAAGGTGCTGTTCAGCAACGAGGCATTAGAAGTTAAGGGACAAAGCACACCTGCAAAGCTGCAGTTGACATGAAACAAAAAGCACACCCAAAACAAAAGCCTCATCCAAAAGCCACTTCAGAAGTCTTTCCTCATAATCTAGGGATGTAGAGCAGATCTGAGAAATGGGAAAAGTCCCACGTGAAAGCAACAAGCTTGCACAGAGTGCATTAGCATTTACTTGTGTTTGAATATGATTGAACTAATTACGGCGGGTTATTGAGATGTTAAGCGAGTGTAAACACTGAGGGTTAGAACAGGCCCCCACTGAGATGAAAAACCTCTACTTTCATCCATACGCAATTAATCAGCATCTGACTCTGCAAACAGGCGTGCTCCATTGCCTCTCTTGTAAGCACTGACTGACACATGAAAGGAGGGAAATTTGCACCCAGTTAGGAGATTATACAGCAAGTGAGTCAAATCCGAGCTGATAGTGCAGAAAGACCCCAGACATCGACACACTGGGAGGTTTACTTGACCTTTGTAAGAGTATCAGGACCTGTTACCAGGTAACAAAGTCGAGGAAGTTGGAACATGTGTACTTATTTATGCTTTTAGGAAACATTAATGTGACTTTATGTGAAAAACGATAGGGTCCTTGAGGGATAGCAGAGCGGTAATAGCCAGGGTTTCCAGGAGCTAGTAATAGATACATCATTGCACAACTGCTATTTGGGAAACAGCGTTCACATGCAGCAAAAACTTCAAAGCCTTCCATGTGCAGAAGGCCAGGTTATTTCAATTAGCCTTCAACA